CCGGCAGGCCTCACTGTTGTTTCAATGGAATGCACTTGATACCTATTTTCTCGTCTCTAACGTTACGTTCATTCATTCATTTCATTCATTCATTCATTCATTCATTCATTCATTCATTCATTCATTCATTCATTCATTCATTCATTCATTCATTCATTCATTCATTCATTCATTCATTCATTCATAATCTTTCTTTGAATTAAAAAAAATCTTTAAATTTTATGCCTGTTATACAAAAATCTCTAGAAAACAGACACTGTACGCACGCGAATCCCAGCAGCCCGCCTGCTGAAAACTGAACACAGAACCCATTTATTCTTCTCCACTCTGTGGGGAGACACAAAGCGATCAGTTAAACCTCTCTGAAAACATATGAATTTATCGATCGCATACTTGAAAAGGAAACGATGACATCGGCTTATTGAGTATTACCAGGGTAATCATTATTTTGGATAATGAATCCGCGCATGACACGCATGTTTCAAGGGTAGATAGCCTGCGTCTTGGTGAAGACGTGACGTGAATTTATAAATACGTGCTTCAGAGAGAAGAGGTAAAATTGATGTGTGCGATATCAGACAGTTATCATATCTTCCATCTTTCAGCATATAAACTGTTCTGAACCGGCTCAACCGGGACGGGGGGCGATATCGACTTCAGACAACCTTTGACCCTTTGCTGACGTCACACGTGGGAAAAATCACGTGTCCACAGCATTTGGGTCAGATAGCTGAGGAAGACTGAGTGATTCAGTCGAAAATTTCTGGTGAGTCAAATTTTGAGTTGAAGTTTAAGTTTTTCATAATGTAACTTACCAACTCAGATGAACTTTCGTGCAAACTGTTCTCTTCTTTAACTTCAGAAATGGAAATAAGACTGTTCTGATAGTGGAGTAGATTGGTAGAAGCATGGATGAAAGCTGCGATGTGCAAAGAATGGAATTAACAGTGCGTGGGAGGGACTGTTATAGTCCCCATAAAAAAAGTTGCGACTCACGTCAATTCCATTAGGACCTAGAACAAGGCTTGTTAAAAGTGAGGTCGTATAAAAGTGGCAACAATAAAAATTTGCTGCTGGTATAGAGATTTATCAAAATTACATAAAAATAAGACATACCATAGAATGGGTAATAAAATATCCCACCGTAAAAATATTATACACAAAAGCCCAATTTGACAAGCAATGAAGAATGACTTATATCGGATCTGGAAAATCGCTGTAAAGATTTGACAGGCATAAAAACAGTTTCATTAAGAGCAACTGTGGGAAAGTTAATAGCTGGAACAATTAAAGAATTTACAAGTTATGCCTTCCGGCTTCCATGTGTCTTTGTTCAAGTGTCGTATAGTTTATATGAGCAGGTTTTATTTCCGTTAGATCTTTATAGACAATTCATTTGGCAGTACAGTGTGTGTGCGTCTTGCAAAGAAAGTGGGTGGGGCGGAGGAAGATATGCGGTGCTATTACTAATGAGTAATGCGGCAAAGATACGTTTTTCGCCCATCAACGTGACAGAGTCGCGTTTTAAGACGTGTGAGATACTCGCGAATATTGCGGTCAATTGAGAGCTGTTATGACGGTGATAGTACCCAGGAGAGAGCTATCGATCTTTATCCCGTTCCCCGTTTCCCGAAATCTTGATGGCGGCATATCTTTGCTCTCGCTCGCTGCCGTTACATTCATTTTGCAGCGGACCTAACTGATGCAGCGCACACACCACCCGGCGTCTACCGCCTCCAATAACCGCCCGGCATCCCGCACCTGGGACCGCGCAATTCTCCGCTGCTTTCATGTGCCGTTGATTGCCGCTGCAGTAGTCATTCAGCCTCGCGGTTTTAAAACTGGCCACTTCTGTTTCCTTCTGCTGCTTATTATTATAGCCACCGTTCTTATCAACAGCCAGCAAGACTGACTCTCCAAGCAACGGGCCTTTTCATCATTACAGCGGCACTGGCTTTCATTCCATAGGCGTAGCAGAGTTGGCGGAGATGGGTTCGGATAGACGTGTACTAGACATCCTTGTCGTCACGAGCGGTGTAAGACGACGCTTCTTGAGTAGGGGATGACAAGGAAGCAATCTTCCTCGGTCAGAGAGCAGACAAATCTTGAGAGGATCATCGTATTTAAGGTAACCCGTACTGCGTACTCTTCGAACCGGCATATCGCAGACTTCCAAATGCACGGCGTCGTTCGTGTGGTCTGTGCTATGTATTGTATATGTAGCAGCTTTCGTATGTTACATATTTGCGTGTATGAAACTACCCAGTCTTTTATAATTCTGTGGAGCAAGAAAAATGACGTTTTTATAGCTATGATAGGCATATATATATATATATATATATATATTACTGCTATTCGTCAACTACCTTCCGTAGATGGTCAATGTATTAATACCAAATGAATTATTATTTTTTCAGTGGAGCTAGAAAAATACTTTTTATATGCTTCTTATATTCCCGTTATTCGGTGGTTGGTCAATGCCTTCAAGATGGTGTTCTTTTGAAAAACTATACAACAATCCTAATAGATAGCTAATAGATCTTGAGGGCAGGATCTGCAAGTTACCATCAAAATTGTGCAGTAATTCTTTGGGATATTGAAATAGCTTTTTCGAAGGTGAATAATTGCTCCTTCAATTGGCCGGTGAAATGATGCATATTTTCCGGCTTAATTTGTTTTTAAAATCGTGAACGAGATACAATGTGTTTTTGTTGGCCAGAATGTCATACTAAACTGGTACAGATCATTTATATATCATTCAAGAAGAATCATCTTTAGATGGTGTACGTTTTTTGTCTGTCCCAGGCGCCCAATGCCTAGATCTCTTTGGATGATTTGAAAAAAGGGTATGCTGACCAGTATTTAGTACCAGCCAGGTGCTAAAAAAATGAAATAATGGTTTTGATGATATGATACTATGGATGACATCCAAAAACTCTGACCATATTGTAAATCGTACAAAGCAGCTGTAAAATGAGCAAATATATGTCGTAAATTGCCAGAAATATATTGAAAAATCATACTTATCTTATGTTTAAGAATGCCAAAATCAATTCCAAAGAACAAAATGTATAGAAATGAAAATAAACAGTCTATTATTCGCCATACCGTACTTTGTGTGTTTAGTCATTTGTTTAACCTTCTTGACCACGTAGATTTTATAATATAGGCAACTTTTTTTTCGCTAAATGTATCTTTTATTCGTACCCGCGCATCAGCTTTGGGGTTCCCAGAGGATGTCATCCATATATTAATCAAATCAACACGGCCACCAATGAGAGCTGCCGTATCCTATGAATAACTTCCGGGGTCAAGGTCAGAGCTGACAGACGGGCTGTCGACAAAATGATAATGGCGGTCCATCTGTCAGTTTGAGGGCGTTGGTCGAACTTGTTGCAGCCCCCGTGAGAAGACGCATGGATGCGCCCGGCTCAGTGTGCGATTACCGGGCGGCATCGATCCATCACGCCGGGGGAGGCGTGAGTCGAGCGCCGCGTGGGACGTGGCTGAGGCACGGTGATGTATGGTCCGATGTGCCCCGCCACGACCTCACCCCAGTTCCGTATGTGTAAAATACCGACACGCTCGTCCCGGAGGTCAACGCTGCGATGTATTTATCAGTTGATGTGGCGCAATCAAATAGCCTGGTTACCAGACCTATTTTAGCTCCCGAGTCTTTTTTGATCCATAAATATGACTGAAAAACTCTTTCTTACACAAGGCAATATGCCTGTACAACGAGTCCTTGCAGTAATGACTTTCAAGACTCTCTGGACTTTACTTCAGTGCCCATGTGTGGCTTTGTAACATGTTTGTTTACGTGTCTGTATATGTATTGTAATGTTAAATGTGTATTGGTATTTACTATGCACAAAATTGTAAAAATCAGTGTTATTCAGCTTGGTTGACTGGCTGCAAGGCTGATTTTATTAATAAAACTTGAAACTTGAACTTGAAATATTTACTATGAATACTCGGGGGCTAAAATAGACCTGGTATTAAAAAAAGAGACTAGCAATCGAAAGGGATGGTCGGTGCTACATGAGAATTTTGGGAATAAAAAAAAGATATTTCTTTTCTTTTCTTTTCGTTGCATCAATGCTGCTGCAAATGATAATAATCTAATTTAACAACCAACAACGTAAATGGCATTCAGTTGACCATAAATTTCAGCAAATTATTACCAGTTTCGGTTCATGTATATGCTTCAGCCATGCAATGAAGCTCAGCACCAGGTCCCAAGGTGAACCATTGCTTGCGTCACCTTGTGTATTAGGCCACAGCAAGTAAATTTCATGGATGACATCCTCCGCAGACTCCAAATCTAATGCGAGCGGGCGAAACAAAAACAATGCGGGCCGAAAAAAAACAAGGTTCCTACATTTTAGAATTTTGACTCAATCATTGTACAAATGGTTTTGATTCAGTGGGAACATCACATATACACAGCCAACATCACATATCACTGCATCAAAGTAAGAAATAAAACATTAAATCAGAAATTTCTTGTCTCCTCTCTTCATAGTTATCTGCCATCCACGTTCCGGCATGGCAACAGGCATCTTTGCCTATTTTCGGCATGGTGACTACTGTCAGACAGCAACAAAATTTCTTGTTTTTTTTTCTCCAAGGCCAAAATCAGGCAAAAATCAATGCGCGCGCTGATGTCATCCATAAAAATTACTTGCTGTGGCCTTATGTACTGAGACATTGAATTGCTAACTGAGGCGCCCCGAAGAAGCTTGTCTAACCATACGGTTGTTGGAGACATTTGGATGAAGGGTTACAGAGAGAGAGAGAGAGACATTATCATTTAGATTGGCAATCCCTGACGGGGACGTGACAGCGGTTGAACCCTCGAGGGAGTGCCGATCGACGCAATCCCTGAACTCGGTAGTACCGTACCGTTCATGGAAGATTCATGATTTGGTTTTTATGATTTATGAAGATTTACCTAATTCGTGGAAGGATTGACATAACAGGTAACTATCACCTTTCCAAAATGTCAAGCCTGAGACCAGTAAGGTTTGAACTTTGGGTATTTTTTGACAAGTATAATGGGATCTTTAACGTGCTCAAGGTGTGGCTCTTCTTACTAAACTTACAAAGAAAAAACTATTCTTATTTTAACCTCCCAAAACCCACTAATTTTAGAAAAGGTGGGACATTACGTCTTCCATTGTCTAAAAAAGAGAAGTCAAACCCCTTAGATATAGTTTTAGACATAGCTATAGCTCTAGCTAGACAACTACCTTTTATCATGTAGATTTTAGTTATTTTATACTACGTTTCATTGTTCTTTTCTGTTTGTAATCTGCAATTAGCCCCCCGGGCATGAATTTGCAATAAACTTCACTTAAACACAGGACCTCCGGCTTTACGTCCTACCCGAGAGGACGTCCCTAACCGAAGCTAGGTACTCATTTACACCTGAGTCAAGTGATATACAATATAAATGTTTAGTATACGCAAGAGCTTTCCACGTCCACTCGCTTTTTTTTGTAATTGTATAAATGTAGGAGTTGGTTTATCGAAGGCTGTAAGGAATATAAATGCCTCTATACTATTCAAATACCCAAGATGGGTAAATTTGCCTAATACATTATCGAAAAGAATGCTTCTTTCGCTATCATACAGAGGACAATCTGTAGTAGAAGCAAATACATTATACAGACGTATAACAATGTCTTCGGTAAAATGTACCTCGTCTTCTACTTTAGGCCATGTTGATTAGATTATATGGATGACATCCTCTGGGAACCCCAGAACTGATGCGAGCGTGCGAATAAAAAAAGTTTGGCAAAAAAAGTTGTTTTCAACATGAAATCTACGTGATCATGAAGGTTGAAGAAATGGCACAGAGTATGGTTTGATGAATAATCTACTCTTAAACTCCATTTCTTTCTTTACATTTTTGTCTTTTTCGTTTGATTTTGTCATTCTACGACATTGGTATAGTTTTCCAAAAATTTTTTTTGCAACTTACGGTATATATTTTCTTATTTTGCAACTGTTTTGTACGATTTACAGTATGGTTGAAAACTTTTTTTTTCTTTTTGAAAACGGCCGAAAATTCATGCGCGCGCGGATGTCATCCATATAATCAAATCAACATGGCCTTACCTAAGGCCACAGCAAGTAATTTTTATAGATCAGCGCTCGAATTAATGTTCGCCTGATTTTGGAAAAAAAAACAAGAAATTTTGTTGCCTTCTGACAGTGGTCAACATGCCGAAAATGGGCAAAGATGTCTGTTGCCATGCTGGAGGGTGGACGGCAGATAACTATGGAGAGAGGAGACCAGAAATTTCTGATTTAATGTTTTATTTCTTATTTTGATGCAGTGATATGTGATGTTGGCTGTGTATATGTGATGTTCCTACTGAATCAAAACCATTTGTACAATGATTGAGTCAAAATTCTAAAATGTAGGAACCTTGTTTTTTTCGCCCGCTCGCATTACATTTGGAGTCTGCGGAGGATGTCATCCATAAAATTTACTTGCTGTAGCCTAAACTACAAAATTATGATGTTGGTGAAGAGAGAGAGGAGAGAGAGGTATTGAATGAACCCCCGCGGCGTTACGTACCAATGAATCCTAACAACCGGAAATGAATGTCCACACTGATACCAGATTAAGCCAATCACCCAGGAGATAACAAGTAATGAATGACACCTATGCTCCGGAGCTCCGGGTGTATCATCACGGGGTGTCACCATTAACAAGCGTTCTGACTTCACCACTGACACTTTATGACGTGGATTCTGTGAGACTTTTATTCTCTAATCGCCGGGACGTCTTTGTTCTGACGAACACGGCGCCACCAGGCGGTTTCGTGGCGTAAAATTAAAAGTTTGATGGTACTATAGATACAGAGGTTGTTTTTTTGTATTCCAACATGTAATCACCAGACGTGGTGACGGCAGACTCAAGTTTTTTCAACTTATATTAATGCCGCCACCAACACAGGGGACAATGCAAAACTCATTTTCACCTGAGCCAAGTGAGGAAATTCGTGTAATTAGGTGCCTTTCCCAAGAGCACAAGATCGGCGGCACGTGAGGACTCGAACCCGGGACCTCTTGGTTCCGAGTCGAGCACTCTGCCGGTACACATATACGCCACAC